TCTATATCGTATACTGACCAGAAGCTGGTATACCCAAAAGAGATCAAGGACGGTTCGGTGTCATCTAGCAAATCCAGTGCCGCCATCGTCATTGCGATTACGCAAGCTACAGTAGATATGCTAACTCATGAAATGTCAACCAAAATTTCGAAATGCGTTTTCATTCCGAAAAGATAAATTGAGTAGTGTTGTAAAACTTATCATGATGCAGCATAAATCTATAATGATCCAGTTACCTCAGGGTGCTGGCTTTCGAAAGAACTTACTTTCGGCTGCATGCAAGCTCTATATCCTGCAAAAAATGACTACTTAAGTAGCATGCAAATTTCTCATTGATTTTCGATGCCCTTGAAAATTCAATTATATTATATGGAAGACGCGCATAAAAATATTTATTCTTCTACTTATTCGGTAGAAAATCACGTCTTCTTCCAATTTCATACTCAAAAGTCGAGTATTATTCGGTTTTAAAAAACTTTTCTAATTCCCGAATAATTTACAACCCGACCTGCTGTTACACTTGCATTCAGGGTTTTAAAACTACGAGCTGTATATTTTCCGTGTACGGAAAACCATGCATTTCTCTACGGTGTTAAGAGGAGACTATATGAAGTTCATAAAATAAAGCAGTGGATTTGAGCAATATTGTTGACTTTACAAGCCATATTCGTAAATGCAGATACATGACGTTTCATGAACGGCCATTTAACGGTATTAAAAAATCTCACAATTAGAAACTTTTTTAAGACCGAATTATACTCTTCTTTTGAGTATGAAATTGAAAGAAGACGTGATTGTCTGCGGAATAAGTAAAATAATGAATATTTTTATGCATGTTTTCCATGAAATAAAATTGAATTTTCAAGGGCATCGAAAATCAATGAGAAAATTGCATGCTACTTAAGTGGTCATTTTTTGCAGAGTATAGATCTTGCATGCAGCCGAAAGTAAGTTCTTTCGAAAGCCGACACCCTGAGGTAACTGAATCATTATAGATTTATGCTGCATCATGATAAGTTTTACAACACTACTCAATTGATCTTTTCGAAACGAGAAAGCATTTCGAAATTTTGGTCGACATTTCATGAGTTAACACATCTACTGTAAATCCTGCGACGGCTGAATATTCAAACAAGCTGACATTAATTGGCAGTACGTCGGGATGGTCCACTGTAACGCGCCAGCAACCACAACTCAAAAAGTAGGCTGTGTTTTCGACCTTGTGAACACAATGAAAATGACGAAGACCACCAAAAAGACAGTAGCTTGCACCCAAATAACATTTAGCTCTTACAGACAGACCTCCCAGTCCAATTTGTTTCCGATAACGTTCATGACCTGCATGCAATGAGTACCGATATAAATTTATTGTTTTGGATAGTTTTTTTTAATATTGTTGGATCAAAAAGCCTAGATAAATATACTGACTGTCCCGGGGATCGACTCCTCTGCTTTATTTCAATATTGGCCTGTGAATAACGACTTTTTCGCCACTACGGTGTGACGGCTAGTAATATGGTCCGAGGGCTGACACAATGGGCCACAGCTGCCTTCATAAACACAATAAGAGTCGAAGAGTTTGCAGAAGAATATCAGACGACAGTGGACTGGCACAGGAAGCAACGCAGAATTCGCCTAAGTGATCGCCGACCAACTCTTGCGTCACGCGGATGAAATCACTGATGCTCTGCTGTGTTTTTGGTTTGATTAGTTGTTTAGGGAGCGTTAAACAGCTACTGATGATGCTTTTTGCGAAAAACTAAGCGCTTAGGCCTTTGCGAGTGCAGCTGGATGTCGAAAGGACGTCAAAAATTCAGGAACGGAGTTGTAGTTAGCGATGAAACTGAAGAAATGGTGGCTGGAAACAACGGCTGCCGCTTCGCCCGTCTCCACCGCTAGGCCCAATGCAGCGCGTCCCACGTTGATGCCGCACTCTAGGTAGGGGCAGGCAGGCAGATGCCCAGTGGATTGTCATGTGCAAAACTCCTCAGCGAAGTTCCCCATGTGTTGTGACCTCTCCTACCGCAATTGAGACCGAGATGTCCGGTACGACTAATGCGAACTCCGGGGCTTTTTTTCTATTAGGAGCCCGTGAGTAGATTTTGAGTGTTGGTCCCCTTAGTTCCCACTTTTCGAGCCTTGACTAATTATCACTTTTCCCTGGTCTCTTACAATCGTGCCGGACGGAAGACTGACATTTCAGGCCTGA